ATGTCCCAGCGAGACCTGACTATTGAGGAGGCTTTGAAGTCAAATAACTTTTGCTTAGAAAAAAAAGGATGGGAAAACTGTTTTGAAATGTGACCATGTTTACTGGCACCAAGTCCAAGGGCACATGTATTTTACTAAGAGAAAGAAATGCTTCTTTATTGTTTGGACCTTGAAAGACTTCATTGTTCTCGAAATCCAGCGGGATGATGGTTGGGAGGTTAGGATCCAAGAACTAAAGGATTTCTATCTAAAACACCTCTTCCCAAAAATTATTGAGGGAGAACTTTAAGCTTTTTCAGGTAAATGATAGAATATTTAATAATGATTAATTGCACTTCAGTTTACAAGCGTATGAATCAGCCTCACCAATTTTGGGCACTTCTGGTGAAATCATAACGCATGCTACCTCGAGCTCTGCATGAAAAAATGTAAAACATATTATGGTATGTAGTGTCTTATATGTGAGACTATAACAAATATGTGCATGTACTTGTCCTATAGTGAGGATATGATCTGAGTATTAGGTAAAAAATCCTTTGTATTGAAGCACTTCTCATTTGGTACTATTACATTGTTAACTTGAACAGAATTAAGTCACTTTCTCTGCTTTCATAAATGTCAGAATACACCATGTAAACCTAGTGACAGAGGGTCTGTCCCTTGGATAGATGACTTTTTCCAAGTACATAAAGTTTAAAAGCCAGAACCAGATGATATAAACATAAAGTTTAACCTTCTTACTACAGTCTTTATGACAATAAAAGAACAACAACTTTTACATCGAACTGATAATACAAACTGGCTTTTGAAAATATTACTTGGACAGACAATTTGTCAAAGTAGAAAAAGGAGCATTCCCCTAGTTTATTCAGTCATAGTCTGTTCCTGCACACCCCTCTTTAATCAAAGGGAACTGCAAGTTAACAATAGCTCCACACAACTGAAACACTTTGTTGATGTGAGACCTCAAGTATGGAGGGACAAAACTGAGAATTTTAAAACCTTTAAGTCTTGCATTTGCCCTTTCAACATGTATGCGACATCTAGCAATTGACTTGGTTAACTTGGCCTCACTTTCAGTGAATTTCCCATGTTGAAGAAATGGTGGAATGTTCACAGACACACCCCTGGGAACAATATCTTGAATAAGAAATCCTTTGTCTGCTAAGATCAGATCACCAGGAACAAAATGTTTTAATAGACCCGACTGTTGAACAATCTCTTTGTCAGAGATGGATCCAGGGTAGAGGTCACTAATATTGGTCAACACCCCATTTGGTGCTACCCCTGTCAAAACTTAGAATGAATTCATTCCACGATAACTTGAATAGGTGAAAATTTGGTGACTCATAAGGCTTGGTGTAGCAACTTCAATGTCAGTACAATCAATGATTATTCTGCAGCTTGAGAACTCTGAAAATGATGATGGCGAACAGAGCTTGTTCTTGTTCCTGGAAGGAATCACTCATGAGGTCATCAAACAACAATCTATGCAAGACATGTACGAAGGTTATGACAATGTTTCAAATTGTTCCAACACTGCATGAAAACAGCTGTGCCAGGTGCGTGTTGGTATAGTTTTGCCGTAACTTCATAAGTGTTATGAAGATTTGATCCTCAAAGGTGATTGACTCAACTTTCCAACCACAATAATAAGATATGGAATCCCTGTATTTAGCCGCATAATCCACTACAATAGTGAAGATCTCTTTTGTTGGTAGGCCAGCTTCCATCCTTATTACTTCAGAAGTCATCATCGAGACAGAGTAGTGAGTCTTTTGATACTGTATGGTGTCCTGTTGACTGCTCAGCTCTAGCTTTGCTAAGTGTAATTCTGCCTCAAAAATTATTTGCTCAGTTGGAGGAGTGGTACTTTCATCCTGGGTTTCTGAAGACTCTGCTGGTGTTGTGGCACTAATACTGGCCAAGATATCTTTTACTGCAGGTAACTTAGCCTCTGAATCAGGCTTCTTTTTCTTCTGCACGGGGGGTTCTTGTGAGGGGAATAGTTTATTGGCATTCCTCTCAAAAATAGTAGGGTCATTTGATTTCTTTCCATCTTTAAAATGGCAGCTGCACACTTTCGAGTACTTGTTGGGATCTCTATCATCTCTCCTGATAAAAGATTGTAATAATCCTTGATATGAGCATAAAATAGCCCCATTTTATTAACCCATTTCTTTTATTAACCCATTTCTTTCTAACGAAAGAGATCGCTCTGCTTCAATATAAAATTATCTAACAAACAACAACAGAGGTCTGTATATTTTGAAAATCCCAGGAGTTGATATCCTTCAGAGTTTCAAGGCATATTTGGCGAGGGAAAAATTTTAGATAACAAGCTTCAACAGCGACAGAATGTTCGCTCGTAAATATGAGAAAGGCTCTATTTGTTAAGTTAAACTTAGCTTATTATAAGTGACACCGATCAGTGAAGTGACAGGCAGCTGGGTCCTCTTTTATTCCACAGTACAAGTAACGGGAGTTTATGGACGCTTATGCCCCGGCATACAAGTCGAGATAAAGCATCATGATCAGCCCTCACGACAGCCGAAATATATGAAAATCTCTACCTTTACAACTTCGAGCAATGAGTGATTACTCAGTTTAAAAATTCACTCCCGTACCAGATTAAATTCGATAGAGAGAAGTTATTGATACCTTAGCAAGCGAACCCAACGCCTGTTTTCTTCCTTTTTCTTCACTGGATTTGGAAAAAGGAAAAACTGACAACAATGCGATTCCGACTGATGATTACAATCGGGAGCGAAGCAATGCATAACCTTACAGCCAGCCAAAAGATGGAGTCCAATAGAGGCTGTTTCTTTGATTCTTTGGAATACAAAGTCCAAAATACCAAGCTGTTTAGTGGAAAACCTATGACGCCCACAATTAAATATGGCGCCCGTCTTTCAATCTCTTAGTTTTGTTTAGACCCAAATTTTGGTCGTCATGACAGCGTGACGTCACACTTTAGAACTCTCTAAGAGTTCAGCAAAATCAATCGCCCCCTGAAGTTCACGCAAATTAGATGTAGCGGGTTCCGAACACAGATCGTGCTGCAATGAAGAAAGCAACTTCCTTTGGTCTTTTACGTTTTGTGTTGCTAAAATGTTTGCAAAGAGCAAGTCCCAAGGGTAGGTTCCAAATACAGTCCCAGAAGTTATCACAATCAGGTCCTGCTGTATTTGATTGATTGATTTTTTCTACATGCAAATCTGGTCGTCTTAAATCTGAGAAAAGTTAATTCACCAGCTGGGAGATGGGGAAGGGAGGATAGTTCTCTTTTATGTCATAGTTGTAAAGCGCTTCTGTATTGTTCTTTGTTTATTAAGAAATAGCTCTAGCTTTGAAGAAAATCCTACGAGTACTTACGATACTTTCTCATTTTCAGGGCCAAAGATAAACGTTGCTTTCTCAAGACCAATAGAAACCAACATCAGAATAGAATAATTCCAGTGTAAACCTATTCCCGTGGTGGATGACACATCCGACCAAGAAACCCGCTTTGAAAATTTAAAAAAAACTCAAAACCCCTTGGTTGTGGTTTGTATTAGGAAAGCAACCATAGGGTGGAGAAAGTTCCCATTGAGAGTAAAAAAGAATTATCAAACACTGACATCAAAATAGGTAAGACAGCAACAACGACATTGAAGAAGAACAGCAACGCTTTATTCAATCACTCAGATTGATTTAATTACGTTTTAATCACTCAGATTGATTTAATTACGTTATAATAATTCTTTGATTTTATAGTATTGATTAAAACAATTTACTAGTCTAGGTATGAGAGTTGTAGTGTTAAATGGCGAGTTAGAAAGCTAAGTAAGCCAAAAAATTTCCTGTTAGCTCCCTCTTAATTTTAAATCCTAGGTAGCAGCAGGTACGTACAAAAAAAAAATTAGATGATAATAACGAAGAATGAATACAAGAACACAGCAGCAGTAAAGCTCTATTGTAATGCTGACCCAACGATGACTGCTGTAAGATCCTTTGAAGAGCTTGCTGGACAAAAAGGTCGTCACTCCACGATCCAAGAGATGCAATGAAGTATGTAGCTGAGCTGGGTCTCCAGCTACGGTTAAATTATCCTAACCCAACTGTCATCGATGGAGACAAAGAAGTACAGTCCAAACGGAGCCAGTGATCAACAAGTCACGGCAGTAGGAGATACAATCGTGTCTGACGAGAGATGGTAAGAGAAATTCATCAGGAACAGATGAAACGACCAAGTGGTTGGTCTTGAGAATTGCTTCGCGTGGCTTTCATGGAAGAAAGCTCCTACACACACCATAGCAGGAACACAAGAGCTTTACCAACAGCTTCTGCCTAACAAGGTATACTACAACCGAAAGATGAGTTCGTAAGCCACTGATGAAAACTGCCGTTTGTGTGGAAAGTACACAGAGAACGTACAGCACATTCTATCTGGCTGCAGCGCTCTGGCGCAAATCAAGTGCTTACAGAGACATAGCAAATCCTTTAACCCTTTTCCTCCCACGGGTATGCTAATTAATTTTCACAAAAAACACAACACTGTAAACTAATGGTTGTCAATTGAGCTACATTTAGTCAATTTCCAAATATCATAGCTCATTTTGAAGTTTAGAGAATTGCTTATACATTGAACCACATACTATGCCTGTCTCTTTTAATGAAAGTTTCTCACTATATCCTCAAAGTTGACATATGACAATAAGTAACACTAAAAGAAATTCTTAGTTCGCAAGAATTCAACTCCGAAACCAAAAACTGTCCAATAACAACAAAATAGTAATTTTTGTCACGTCAAAGGAATGACCTTTAAGATAAACCACAGATATTTGACATATTGATATAAAAAAGCTTCTTACAGCCCTCAAATGGTAATACAATTTTCATCGTTAATTCAAATTCTGTAAGTCATCTTAGTAATTACTCACGTGACGATTCAACAGTAACTCAATTCTCATGAGGGTATCAGTTTATAAAGACTGATCCAAAGAACCTTCCTAAACATAACTGCCTTCTCTAAGCTTTTTTAAATATCTGGTTAATGGTTAACCAACCGAAAGAAACAGTCAGGTCTAAAATCCCAGTAAGGATAAGTACAAAGAATAAAAAATTTTAATTTGTATTTTTTTTTTAGCAAGAAAACACTAAATTAATACTTCTTATCAGCATAGACATACCAGTGGTACGATGTCAGTATGCTATTGGCAAAGGTGTGCCACATTTAAAGCAATAAACAAACAGTTTTTGACAACCATCAGCCAATGTTATGCTACTTTATTGGAGAGTTCATTGTCTCATCTGCCTAGGTCTTCCTCTTGCAAAGAGCCTGCCAGGATTCTGTGGCTTCAGACGTGAGGTTGCTGTTCCATATTCAGGATCATTGTACAAATAGTCTTGGAGGGTACAGTATTTCTCAAAACAAGGGCTGGTGCAAATGTGCATTCCACACAGTCCACACTTGTATGAAGTCAATCCTCGCTGAATGTGAACTTTACAAGCACACCTTGTTGAGGCCACAAGTGTAATAATTGGCCTCAAATAAAATAACTGGGTTCAAATGTAATAACAGTTGGCCTCAAATGTAATAAATGGCTCCAAATGTAATAACAGTTGGCCTCAAATGTAACACCTGTCCTCAAGTTTAATAACAGTTGGCCTCAAATGTAATAACAGTCGGCCTCAAATGTAAGAACTGGCGTAAAAGTAAACCATACATTGTGCGATAAACTCAGTCTGCAAACATATTTTGGGTGTCGTTTGTCACAACCATGAAAAATCAGTTATTTTTTTAATAAATAGATAGATAAAGACCAAACATGGACTTAGTGATCAATTACTGAAAATAAGCAAGTTCATACGGCGCTGTTCCGAAATCCTCTACGACCCTAGTCTCCTTCGCAGCCGCTCGGGCCGGAGTCACGCAACGCTTCCCGTCCCCACGCGGCTGCTTCAAACCGACATACATTCCTTTCTCGGAAATGAACCAATCATTGTTTGGCTTTCATTTTCTTGCGAATGTTCGCGCCTTAAATTTCAACCAATCACCTGGCTCCTTTTATGGATCAGATAATGGCGGATCTCGAAGAAGCTTTCAATCTTTTAGCGTCAAAATTCGGCATACAGGCTTTAAATTCGCATCAGCAATTAGCAATATCGAAGTTAATTG